GTGACCGCGTAACCCCTGGGTATCCGAAGGGCGGTGCCACTGGCCGACTGCAGCCTGCCAGGGAGGGCATAAAGAACATCCAGCAAGTGTGAGTGTGGGGCTGGGACGTCGAGGAACGGGCACTTCCACGAGCAGCCACGGTGCAGGGGGGGCGGGCGGAGGCTGCGGCGCGGACACTGAGCAGAAGCCTGACGGCAAGGGGCGAGCACGGACAGGCACTGTTTGCTTTCACTCTGTCCACCTTACAATATTAGGCGTATATTTTAGTGGTCTGCAACTTTCTCGTTATGTTTTGGAAATAAGCAGGATGTTCACACACACTGGAGTTTCTAACGTGTCCTCTGTGCTTGTCAAATGTCCATACCCTCTTACCCTTCACCCAGCTTCCCCTAATGTTTGCACATTAATCAAAACTAAGAAATTATTCTGTAAATTACAGACTTAATTCAGATTTCACCAGTTGTTTCACTAATGTCCCTTTTCTGTTCCAGGATCCAATCCAGAATACAACACTGCATTTATGGATTGTTGTTGTTGAATACACTCAAGCATCTGCAAGGAGACTTGAGACCCAAACAAATGTGCAAAAAGGAAACCTAGGACACGGTCTTTCATTCTGTGGGACAGTGAGGCTGCCAGTGCAGGATAATATGGGGAAAGGAGGCTATTTGGGGGGCAGAATGGAAGGAATCATCTTTTTGAAAGGTGATGCTTAATAACGAAGCAACATGGCAGCAAGTCAAGTAAGTGGGCTGAAAATCATTTCAAGATTAGCTCCTGTCTCTTCTGTTGGCTTGTAGAAATAGGTTAGCTGGAAGAATCAAAATGAAGATGATTGGAATGATCTATAGCAGGGACAAAATGCAGGATAGCATATCTGTAATGTCTGGTACTTAAAGTTCCTTTTGCTTAAAACCCTAAAATTTCTATGATTGGGAATTTACAGGATATAGGGCTTATTCACAAATTTACAACCCAAATCATACTGATATTCCCTTCCTAGAGTATATAGCTAGTCAGTTATCATCCTGCCAACAAGCAATTATTGAGCGTCTAAAATAAGCCAGCACTAAGTGCTAAAGATGAATATTTCAATGAGCACAACTGATGAGCAACAGAGAGAAATTCCCATTTCTCTTACTCAGCTAGGTCCTTCCTTGCTTCCAACAATGTTCATTATTCTTCTCACAATAATTACTCCACTTTGGTCACAGTCATCTCTAAGACTCCTTCAACATGGTTTGTACAGTTGCAGCTAAGGTTAGCTACATATTTATTTCATGTTTCCACATGTGTGAATATGTGCTTTCTCTCTCCTTTTAGAAGAGATCCTGAGACTCTGCAGAAGCACTTTGCTGTCTTCCCCTATCACGCTGCAGTGTCTAACGCTATAATTCACATGAGGTCAGTCATAACAGACACAACGCTCTGGAAAGTGCAACAGATGCTGGAAAGATAAAGGAACTGAGCTTATTGTGTTTGGAGGAGACGTCTCCAAGAGACTTGGTGGTGGCCGTTAAAAACACAGACGTTTAAGACAGAGATGGCCAATCAGTTTTCCTGTTCCCTGGATGACGAAGTTGTCACACGAAAGCACTGACGTCAGACGCGAGAATACATTTCCTGAAAGACTGGCAGGTGATGAAATGCATCTCTCCCAGTGATGTGTTTTCACGTAAATAAAAGAAAGACTTTTTGCAGCTCTTCAGAGACAGGGACTCGCTCTCTCCTGCCCAGAAGATGACGTCTGGGTTTCCAAGGCAGGGCCATGAGCCTAGCTCGCTGCAGCTCGCTCTTCCTTCCCCCAGGCAGATGGAATTTGCAAGACGTGCCCTACGCATCTTCTTCTTCTTTTTTTTTGAGTTGGAGTCTCCCTCTGTCACCCAGACTGCAGTGCCGTGGCCGCTCCCGGCCCCCGCAGCCTCAACCCGTTGGGCTCCGACGATCCTTCCGCCTCAGCCTTCCAAGTTGCCAGAACTACAGGCGCGCGCTACCACACCCGGCTAATTTTTTTGATTTATTGTAGAGATGAGGCCTCGCCAAGTTGCCCAGGCAGTTCTCGTACCCGCGGGCTCAGGCAATCCACTCACCTCAGCCTCCCAAAGGCGCGGGATTACAGGCTGAGCCACCGAGCCCGGCTAAGTATCTTCTTTAGGCAGAGCAAGCACAGGGAAAGCTCAAGGTAAATAAGGACCTAAGAGCCGAGCTGGGGGAAGTACGTGCTTTGGCAACTTTCCATCTGGGCAACACCAAGGGCTCTTCCCCGCTGTGGCTTAGGCTGGCCCAGCCAACAGGGGCTCTTTAGGAAATGAACAGAAAAAAGGGTTCCTAGGAGCCAGCTCACCTTACACTCTGGTTAGCAGAAGGGCTCTGGGAGCCTGTTGGTCCAAACGCAGCATTCATCTGCCTCAGGCAGACAGGACTAGAGGAAGGCAGGGCTTCTGGGAATGTAGAGATGAATCTGCAGTCTCTTCAGGGACTTTGCTGGCCAAGCCACTCAGGTCTGGGACGTGAAGTTTGGTGTCCCCGTAAGCCAGTCATGTCAACATTAATTTTACTATGGACATATTCAGTAAAGAATGGATGGTGCCTTTTCCGTCAGAAAAAAAAACTTGTGCCAGGCTTGGTTGGTCAGTCTGTAATCCCACGCTTTGGGAGGCCGAGGTGAGTGGGCTGCCTGAGCCCACAGGTTCGAGGCCCGCCTGGGCAACTTAGCGAGACCTCATCTCCACAATAAATTAAAAAATTAGCTGGGTGTGGTAGCGCGTGCCTGTA